CAAGCACTGGGGCACCATGGGACTTGATCATCCTCAGTTGTCTGGATATGAAAACATGCTTATGAGGTTCTCTGGATCCATTAAGGTAACTGCGAAAAGAAACTTGAAAAATGCTACAGATATTCAAAACCAAACAGCCAGGAAGAAGTAGCTGGGGGTGGGAAAATCATATAACATCAAGGAAGAAGGTTTTCAAAACTAAGGAAGGCCTTGTTCAAGAGAGAAGAGAGTATTTCCAGGCACATCCAAAGAGTTGTAGAGTTTCTTTTCTGTCTGGCTCATGACGACAGGATTTGGAAATCTCGCTTGACTGTAGAAAATTGAATGTTGTCAGTTAGAATAACCTTCCTTTGAGCTCCCTTCTAACCCAGCTGGAGCTGGCACTGACATAATGCACAATTCCCAATGCCCTAAAGGGTATACAAGTGGGAAGGAAGCCCAGATTGGGGACAGAACTTAGGAATCAATGACAAAGACAATAAAAAGACATGAGTGATAGAATGGGGAATGGGGGCAGCCAAAGTCACTTATGGCCCTGGGAAAGAAAAGGAAAAAGAATACTTTGGGAGGCATTAAAAAGACCTTGTTAATATTATCTGTAATTGTGGCATATATGAAACCTTAGGGACATTAGGTACATTAATAGACGTAGGTAACCTTTAGCCAAACTGGCAAATATGATACTTCTTACAAGGACTAAGGCAGATGTTTGTTAGCACCTTGAACAGTGTGTGACTGGAGAAAGGTGTTTTGTGAATGAAAAGACAGAATCATAAGGTTTAAAGATAAAAGGAATTTTAGAAATCATCCAGTGACCAGATCTAACCCCATCATTTTAAAGAGAAAAATCTGAATCCCAGAAAATTACTTAAATGACTTGCCAAATAAACCCTGGTTGTAATGTATGAGATGAGAATTTTAAACCCAAGTCTTCTGACATCTGAGTCCAAGCTCTTCCCATTGCACTACACCAGCCTTTCAGCTCATAATCCCTCAAGATAAAGTTAATTGGTATTGTCTGCAGACTCTTGAATGAATCAGGTGTCAGTTTCTTTGTTTCTTAGAATAATTACAAAAAAAACCCCTTTGATATCCCATTTCTCTTTATCCCTCTCCACCGCCCCCCCAAATTTCTACCTAACTAGCAAGAGATTATATGTATATATATATATATATATATATACATATATATAAGCTGAGTTGATTTATTAATCATATAGTTGCAGGTTTTCCATGTCTTCCTAGCAAGAAGAACACTAGGTTTATGAATTCATATCTGAAAGAAGTATGAGGTCACTAAGGAATTAGATTTTCTAAATAATAAATCAAGTTTCTCTGTTTAGATTTGAATATCTATTCTTTAGTTGTATTATTTCTTTTTCTTCTTTAAACCAAAGTTCAACAATATTTCTGTTATAGCTTAACATTTTATCTTGATGTGTTTTTTTTCTGATGGTGCTTTATCAAAAATCACATCACAGATTTAAAGATGTAGCAACATAAGAATCCATCTAGTTCAACCCTCTCCTATGAATGAAAAAAAAATATTAGCCCAGGGATAATAGGTGGTTTTCTGAAGGTAGGAAAAGCAGTAAATTCATCTAGGTAGCAAATGGTTGAACTCTAGGGTCCCTTCCACTATAACATTCTATACTGCTAATCTATCATAAGGGTCTTCTAATCAGAATGATTGAGCTGAGAAATCAGATTCTATTTATTTCTAGTTTGCAAATTAAGAACATAATATATCTTCTTATGAGAGAATATGGAATCATTCTAGTTTACTCTCCCATAAACACATTTTATAACAAAGAAGTGAACGATAATTTATAATGTTAATTGCAAAGTGGATTTTTAATCAATTAAATGTTGGTCTGTTAGACGATATAATCTTTGAGATTTTGTCTGACTCTAAGATTCTGTGATTCTATGTTGTTTCAAAGAGGCTTGGACTATTGACACACTGAGTGGGAAGTTAGGGCAACAATTATCTACTTAATTCAACCAAAGTAATGCCAACTATATCTGAATTATTGATATTTTCCTTTACTTGTGGAGAATAGATCCAGTCTAGATATTTAGGACACAGTACTATGGTTGGAACCTAACTCTTGAGAAATGAGGGATTTAGGTATTATTGCCTTTGAGGAGAGATTTGAGCATGGCAACCAAATAAACATGGTCCTGTCAAATGGAGTTATATTTTTCAAAACGAGAAGTTCCTTATTAAAATCATGCACCATTAACACATTTTACCTGCTTCCCATACACCTTTCTTCACAAATACAATTTGTTCTGGTTTTATTCACACTGGGGGAAAATACTAGGAAAAATCATTATTACCCACAAAGTGAAAGAGGTTTTACCTGTTATTCATTTATAGAACAAATGTCTGGAAGAGTAAACTCCCTCTACCTATGTAGATTGGAGTCTTCTTTCTAATTTATAGTCTTAAAGGGTTCTTTAGAGTATGGAGTGGTTAAGGGACTTGCTAAAGATCACAAAGTTACTACATGGCAGAGTTGAGTCTTGAGACCTAGACTTCCTAACATAAAGATACTTCTATCAACTCCAACACCTTTCCTCTTTAGCCACATTAGACCATAGATTTTGAGCTAGAAAGTCCTTAGAGGTTATCTAGTTCCACTCCTTCATTTTATGGACAAGAATCTGACATTTAGAGGGATTAACTTTGTTGATGTTCACACGGGGGAGTGTGAAAGGGGAATTGAACCAACCACTTTGAGAGTTTTTTTTGCCAAATTGTAAAGCCAGGATTTTGAACTTAGGTCCTCTGACACTGGATATAATTCTTCCCACTCAGCAATAGGAAGTGTAAATGTGTTTCTTTTTTGTTAGTTTTGTTTTCTGCACAAAACAAATTGGAACAAAGTGATCTTTAAAAGTCAGGAAACAACTGGAAACGTATGGTCTTTCTTCATTTTGCCTCTAATACCTTCAGGTTAATGGGAAGTAGAGATCTAAGGCTAAAAAATATTGTTAAGAAAAATAAGTGAGAATTTAAGATGGAGCTATTAAAAGAAGGATCTTAGATTGAAACTTTTCTGATTGAAAATGATGAGAAATGGTCAACAGACATAACAAAGGGAATAGTAGCAATAGTACAAACGATAGCTGAGATTTATTTAGCCCTTTAATGTTTGCAAAACACTTTACATGCATTATATCAAGTGATCCACACAACAATCCAGGATGCTAGTTATTAAAGGCATTATTTATTAGTCCCATTTTATAGATGAGGATGTTAAGGCTAAAAGAGATTTATTGTTTTGTTTACACTTATACAACCAGAGAATATGAGAGATAGGATTCCAACTCAAGTGTCTCCTGATTTCAGCAGCCTTCCCTAGCACTGCATAACCTTTATGGACCCCTTTGATATTAACCAAATACTTTACCTGCACCACCTCATTGATTTCTAAGACAAATCTGGGTTGAAAATCTTATAGCTATTATTGCACCCATTTTACATATGAGGAAATTAAGGCTATGTCAGATTTCATGGCTTGCCAATAACTGTCAGAGGTGGAATTTGAATCCATGTCTTCAGTGGCTTTTTTATTCTTTTCAGTGTATCACATAACCTTTGAAGGACCCATGAGGATTGAGCAGAGAGAATACTGAGGTTTAACTATGCAAAGGATTTTTTCTTTTACAGTCAGGTGCGGTAAGCGAACATTGTCTGAAGGCAGCCTTGGGTAGCAGCATACTCAAATTTGTGTTTTTATAGGCAACTATACACTTGACTAGGGCCCACCAATAGGAATTGATATTAAAAAAAAGGTGCAAAGGCTTGTATTAAAAGAAGGTTATCAAAAATCAGTCTATCATTACTATAAACTTGCCTTTGGTATTCGATAGAGTAATACATAACATTAGCTTTTTTTATTTCCTAAATGTCCAGAGGTTTTCAAGCCAATACTCCCTCTTCTTACGACAGCTATGGATTGATAAAGGGATTTCAGACTTATAGAGAGAACTTTTCGTTTGTGCTATTATAACCCCCTTTTTGATCTGCTGTGCTCCCCTGATTCCCTAAATGAATGATGATCCATTCATTCAGAAAATGCTTTTTATTGACTTTTACAAGCCGGAACTTCAATATGACCAGGCTGCAGAAGAAATGGGCTGGTGCATCGTCTAATTGTCCCCATAACACTCATCAGAAAAAGTGTAAGTTAAAAACACTTCATCTATAAGTGTGAAATACTCCCTCTATCATGGGCTGAACTTCTGAAACCAGCAAGTCATTTGGCCACTGAAGCTTGGTTAGATTTCTATGGGTGATATAGCCCCTTAAAAGCTGGACTATTGGAGAGTTTGCAATCAATGATTATACACCTCTGCAAAGCATGACTGCTAAGTCATGATTTGGGGCTTATGATAGGTGGGAAAGTTAAAGAGATTAAGGAATTACATAATTTTATATTAACCTATCAGTCCATTGACAGGCATGGTATTATGTCTACTGCATGCCAGACACTTTGGTTGGCAGCAGGAAATAACATCAAAAGGCCACGTGACGGAATTACATGTTTGATGTGTATCCCTGGGATATAGCACAGTGCCTGGTACACAGTAGACACTTAATATGTACTTTTAGATTGGTTCTTTCCATTGAAAACCAAGATTGTGACTTTTGTTAAGACATCTCTACATCTTAAATAAGTAGGTGATTATTGATATGCGTGAAAACAGGCAGGATTCAGTTGAGCCTCCAACTTTTCTGATGGTTGTGGGGATGGGGAGAAATAGAAGATTGTCCTTGGGAGCATGAAAAGGGAATTGAACCAACTTTGAGAACTTTTTGCCAAACACAAGGTATATTGTGAAGCCATGTTTCTTACAGTTGTACATTCAGCCCTATACATCCTATACTACTTGTTTAAATATTAGTGCACTTAAGGAACTGATCTAGTGGAAAACAAAGGCAGTGAATTGAGCAGAGCTCTGATTAGCTGGAGTTGAGTAGTGAGCTCTGGATTAGCTGGAGTTGAGTAGCGAGTCTAGCAGACTTGGCGCCCTTTGAATTCACTCATTACTTGGACAGGGTGGATTTGCTTCTTAGCAGACCCTCTTCTCACTGCTGCAAAGACCTCCTCTGGCTTCTCTCGCTTAATCAGGGGCTTTTTTGCAGGAGCCTTCATTCTCCACATGACAACAGGATGTCGGGGGCCTGTAGAGCTCTGGATCCTGATGATCTTGGTGGAGGCAATATAGGACATTTTCACAGTGTGGACCACAGCATTCATCAAGTTCTTGGCAGCTTGGATCAGCGAGGTGACACTGTCCAACTGGAATGAGAAAGGTAGCAGTTACTTTGAGGAAGTCATGATAAAGTCACAACATAAGCACCAAAAGTCTTCTAGAACTGAAGAATTCCTTGTGGTCTCTTTCTATTTGACTCTAGGAATGTCTAGAGTAGCTATAAACTAATTTGAGGGGTGTGTGTGATCTGTTATATCTTGTATGTATATGAATGTATGTGTGCATGTGTGCGTGTGCGTGTGTGTGTGTGTGTGTGTGTGGATAGATTAATGAATGAATGAGAAGAAGGCAGAGAGATGCAATATGATATGGATGGAAGTCTAGCTTTGGATTCAGGAAGAACTGTGTAATAATATTTACTCCTAACATATACAAGCTGAGTGACCATGGACCTACCATTTAATCTCTCAATGCTCTAGGCAGCTCTCTAAAACTATACATAAGAGATAAGTTGCCCACTTGCATTGGCAAGGGAAGTTTCTGTACTAGGAAACTCTTCTTAGATAAATTACATATAGCTGTGTATGAGTTACATGAGGATTACTTTCACACATGTATGTTATGTGTGTGCCTACACACATATGAGGAAGAGAGAAGATCTTGTTATTTAACTTTTCAGGTATTTTATCTTCAGCTCTCTTTTAGCTTCCCTGGGAGTAGGTAACATGGCTGAGGTTTTTATCTCTGCCACAATGCTTCAAGCACTGCCCCACTCACAGTAGCTGATATATCATCACAGACAATGATTTATTAAAATGAGAGTAGTCTGATTAATAACTTGACATTATCATCCTAAGAACCATTCTTGTCCCTTCTGTCTGTTGTGATAGACCTAGGGCTCTCTTAAATGAGGTTCAACTGCATGCCAGATTTTGAGACATCAAACATATCCAGTTTGACCTCCTGGATTAGCAAATATTTTTTTTCTCAATATATTTTTGTACATAGAATTTGGGGGCTATTAAATTCTTAGATGCCTTGATACTCATTTCTCTAGGTAACTAGTAAAATACTCATCCAGATGCAACAGCCTTTTTCATTCTATTTCTTCCTAGATCTCCTTACAGGGCTTTTCATTGTTATTAAGTTCCTCCTTAACATTATTTTCTGATTTATCTTCCTTAGCAACACTCTCTGCTGCGTCTCCTTATTCTCTGACTGTTCCTTTTTCACTTGTTTCCATTGTCTTCACTGGTTTTTCTCATGCCCCTCATGTGACCATTCCCCAAGTCTCCAATCTTAACCCCTATTTCTTACCTCTCTTGTGGGGTTTTCTTGGGTGTGCTCTCGCTTGACCACCTGCCTTAATCCCACTGCTTCCATAATCACTTTTTTGAAGACTTCCCCCCAGAATATATGAAATTCTGTGTTTTTCTCCTGATTTTATCACATTTTTATAAATACCCACTAGGTACCTTCAATTTACTATGTTGCTATCACATTAATTTTTAACATATTCACAAATGAACATATATTCTTCCCTGATTATTTTTGTTGATGAAATTACCATTCTTAGAGAAGGGGAAGGCTTGAGATTTCTTTCCCTCATTTCCCATATCCAATTGCCAGTTCCTGTCAATTCTACCTTGATAATGTTTCCTTACGTCTTTTTTCTACATCCATTGTCACATTACTATCATGTGACTTTACCATTCAGAAATGTTCTTTGCTCCACATTGCTTACTAAATTAAACAAAACAAATAATAATAATAAAAAAAACCAAAACTTCAAAGCCTTCTAGTGACAATATACTTTTTTTCACCAAATTTCACTCTATTCATCTTTACACACTCTGTTCTCTGAATTCATAAATTTCTCCCTGTCCTATCCTATCAATTTATCATTAAAGAATCATTGATTGAACAATTAAGTTTCAGTACTGGCCTAGAACTTGTATACATAAATATATAAAAATGGAAAATCCTTTTGATCATTGAGCTTATATTCTATCTTTGTGTCTTTCTGAATTCCATCATACATGTATAAAATGGCATTGTTATTTTGTCCTGATTCACAATTAGCACAATCTATAAAATCTAACCTACATAGAAGACACAAGTTTGATATCACCCTTGTGAAATATACCATAATATCTCTGGGTAGAATCACAGAATCTTACAGTTGGGAGGATCCAGAGAGAATATTTGATCAAACTTAAACCCAATTAAGAACTCCCTTAATGAATGAACTATCACTTATTAAGCACTTGTACAATGCAAACAACAACCACAATAAACACACACACAAAACATGTGCTAACTATTGGGGAGGCAAAAAAAAAGCCAGTCTTGGATTTTAAGACGGGAAACAAAAATATGTTTGTGGTGACCAGGAGAGGGCATTTTGGTTTGGAGATTTAGAAGGATGTTGAGTTGTGCCATAAGGAAGAAGTTTGTGAGGATCATTTTTTTTGTGATAAATAATGGTTGAATATATAGGTGGCTCACTATACATCAATACATCTATTTTTCATGGATATCTTCCATACTTTGCACCCTCTAATAATTTGATGAAAACTTCATCTCTGTTTTTATTCAACTCCTTGAAAAAAAAAACAAATAAACCAACAAATGATTAACAACTTGGGTTCAAATGTGGGTGCCTCGCACCACTTCATAAGCAACATCTAAGTTGTCATTGAATCATTTGAGTCTAACCACTCAAAGAGTACAAACTCATATAAATGCTAGCCAGTATCTATCTCCTCACTTGTCTAAAACAACAACATGAGAGAACTATGCTTAAACAACAATAAAAAAAAAACAAAACTATGTTAACTTTGCTTAACCTAGCCTTACCCACCTGACCTGGCAGTTTAGGAACTCTATCTAAAAGAAAAAATTTGTTAGTCTATCACGAACTGATCTTGCTAAAGGCATTGTGGTTCTTCACAACCAATTGATCATTTCTCCAGATTTTCAGTAACCATTTCTTTAATAATTCCTGAATTCTTTGAAAAACCAATATCAAGCTTACTGTCCTACAGTTTGCAGACTATGTTCTTTCCTTTTTGAAATTTGAGACAACATTTGTCTTTCTTCTAGCATATGGTACTTCTTCCTTTTCCAAGATGTTCAACTTATCATATTTGGAAGTTATCTCAGTATTTCATCTAGATATTGGGTTTTGAACTCCTCAAGTGTTCCACAGGACTTGCTATTATCATCCTCTTAACAATCTTGGGGGCTTAATTCTCTGTTGACTATTTTTTCAGTCCTTTCCAGTCCCAAAGGTATGCTTAGTTCCTTGGACTTTACTAACCTATTTTTTTTTTACATCACCTATTCATTTAGTCATTGTCTAATCCATATTTTAGTAATAACATTGTATTTTCAAATACGGCATTACACATCTTGTGTCTATGTCTTAGCATATATGTATAAACTTTCACTGTCATTTGGCATAGGGACTGCCATCTTTTACATTTGAATCCCCAGAGCCCAGCAGTTTCTTACATGTGACAGGAATAAATATTCACTGATCAGGACTGAGCTAAAGAGTGGATCACATAGACAAATAAATAACTAAAGCATCACAAAATCACAAAATTTGTGAGTTAGAAAGAACCCCAATAGCCATCTAATTCTCTAAAACGATGGGGAGAGAACATTCAGCAACTCTGGTTGAAAACCTCCAAAGAAGTAGAATGTATTACTACCAGGGCAGTTATTTCCACTTGTGTAAAGCCCTAATTGTTATGATGGAAGCAGTCAAGTGGAATAGTGGATAGAGCACCAGGCCTGGATTCAGGAAGACTCATTTTCCTAAGTTCAAATCTGGACTCAGAAATTTAGTAGCTGTGTGACTTTGGGCAAGTCACTTCACCCTGTTTGCTTCTGTTTCCTCATGTGTAAAATAAGTTGGAGAAGAAAATGGTGAACTACTCAAATATCTTTGCCAAGAAGACCCCAAATAGGGTCACAAAAATTTGGACACAATTGAAAAATGGCTGAACAACAACAAACAACAATATTTATGACATTTTAATGAAAAATAGATTCAACATTTATTAAGCATCTGCTGTACTTGGAAGCAGCAAGATATAGTGGAATAAGAACTGGTCTTAATGCCAAATACTCCTATGTTTTGATCCTGCCTCTGACATGACTCTGAGCAAGTTTCTTGACTTCTCAGTGCTAGCAGCCACTCTCTAACACTCTAAGTTGAAGGGAAGGTGCCAACCTTCATTGGTAGAATAAGGTTTCTCATCATCGATATCCTGATAGCAATAAAATACCTGTTCCAGTCAGTTAACCTATTCCTTTAAACCTTTGTGAAATAGTATGATAGTCACTTGGAGGCACTGAAGAATTTAGTTAAAACTTTGTCCCTAATCTAATGGAAATTATAATTAAATGAAGGCAGGTAAAGTGGCTAAGTGTAGGACATAGAGACTGGTCCTTAGAGTCACAAAGAACTGGGTTCAGGTTCCATCAACTATGCGTGCTGCATTTTTGAGCTTAGGTTTTTACTTTGGAGGGAAGCAAAATCACAGGGCAGAATTATAAGTTTGGAACTTAAGTTTGGAGCTTGATTTCTGAGAGAGCCCCAGGAAACTCTCTAATTTTTTTCTTTATAAATGAAATCACAGTATTGGTGCCATCCTTCAATGGGATGAGACACATAGATATAAATTACTTATATATAGTATTGTTAGATGATCTCTAAATTTGTATATATATATAGATATTATATATGATAAAAGTTTATTGAATAAATACACTTGGAGTTGGAAATAAGGATTACATTAAGCTCTGTACCTCTAGAATGTTATAATTGGAAGGAACATCAAGAATAGAATTTTCTCACTTGTAACATGAGGAGACCTGGTTCTTGAGGGGATAACTGATTTGGTTAAGCTCATGCAAAGTATAGTGGAACTACCATTTGAGTCAATGCCTCTAAACCAGTGTCATTACCCTTATATTAATGAATACAAGGAGAAATTGAGGCTCAAAGAAGTGAAATTAACTTGCCTAGTTGTCCAATGGCTAATTACTAGAAGACTTTGAACTTGGCCTCATG